GGCCGAGCCAGTGCGACCCCGCCAGCCGAGCCGGCGACGCACGTCGTCGCGAAGAGGACGACGCACGAGTCGTCGGCGGCGGCGACCCCGAGGACGTCGTCGGCCAGGTGAACGAGCGCGCTCCCCGGGCCCCGGGCGCCCCTGACGAGCTGTTTGTGGTCCCCAGCGCGATGCGAAGTAGAGCGCGCCGTACAGTGCCCCCGGGCGGGCAGTGCCGGCTGCCAGGGTTTGGCCTCGGTCTGCTGCACGCCGCCAGCGCACCGCAGCGGCGGCCGCGCGGCGAGGGTGGTCTGTTGTGATGATGGTGATGTCCTGCAGAAGCTGGCGGCCGGCCGGCCGGGGCTCGCGGCCCGCCGCACCCGCCCGCGTCGCGGTGTCGCCCGCGCGCCGGCCGTGGACAAGGCCCTGCTCGTCGGCGTTGTGGAGGACGCCACCGACCACAGCCGCAGCCCCGAGCAATGCCGCCACGACGGCGTCCGCAGCTGCTGCTGTGGGCTGTGTGCCACCCGGTAGGCCGCGCTGGGTGCCACCTGGCGTGGAGGCACCAGCTGCAGTAGTGGCACGGTGCTGACATTGTGCTGTCGTAGTGGCTCACCGGCTGCGGTAGTGACAGCAGCTGTAGTTGCGGCACCAACTGGAGAAGTGGCATGAGTTCCCGTAGTGGCACCAGCTGTAGAAGTGGCAGGATTTCCCGTAGTGGCACCAGCTGCAGTAGTGGCACCAGCTGTAGTAGTTGCACCATCTTACCAGCTAGTAGCACCAGCTCGTCAGCTGCCGTTGCAGCCGCTGCTCACCAGGTGCAGTAACGGCACGATCTGCCGTCGTCTTAGCGGCAACAGCTGCAGGAGTGACAGCAGGCTCAGTAGTGGCACCAGCTGTTGTGAAGGCATTCTCCTGCTGTAGAGACGCCAAGCCACCTAAGGGCTATCTCTTTAAGAGAGGCGGACCGGCCGACCGACCGACCGACCGAGCGGCGGGTTAAATGGCCGTTAGTAAGCGAAATTAGCATGAATGAGGGTAAAACTGTATATTTTCGGAAAGAGGAAAGATCTGGCGACAAGTTACTGTCAAAATATCGGTATTCCGGACATTCTCTAAAGCATAGGTTACACGACCTTTTTCTAAATTAATTCAAAGTACCGATATTTTTGGATATCGTGTTCCTTGATACTTCTCCTTTCCAAAAATATATAGTTTTACCCTCATTCATGCAAATTTTGCTTACTAACGGCCATTTCACCTGACGCTCGGTCGGTCGGTCGGTCGGTCGGTCGGCCGGTCCGCCTCTCTTAAAGAGATAGCCCTCTATTCGTTGATGCACCAACCTGCTGCACCCACGCCTCGTATCCTTGTAGTCCTACAATCCCTGCAGGAGTGACAGCAGGATCAGTAGTGGCACCAGCTGTTGTGAAGGCATGCCCCTGCTGTAGAGACGCCAAAGCCACCTATTCGTTGATGCACCAACCTGCTGCACCCACGCCTCGTATCCTTACAGTCCTACAATGTCCACCCCTCTCTCATCTCACAGGGGTTATACACGGTTAAAGCAATTTATTAGGAGGCTGTCTGCACTGTCCTGTCCTTTGCGCTTCTCATAATCACATTTCCGTGTGGTACTTGGGTAGCGGAGAAGTAGTGTATTGTAGTGACTGTCAGGTTGACCTAGTCTTAGACAGTGGCAATGAATCACTTGTGACCTTATTTCGATGTCAAGCGAATGTTAAGTCAACTTAGTGAAACGGTGTCGCACTATATCTATTAATTGTAGCACGTAATAGACATATAATTATTTCTTTGTGAAAATAATGTACCATTACGAAACTTGCACCTGAGAATCCGTTTTTAAAGCCGCTGTGCTCTCCATCCAGGACATGGCTGGACGCGGCGCTGGCGCGCTTCCGCCCGGCCCGCTGCGCCCAGGGCAGCCCTCCGCCGTCACCCTGGGCGCAGCCCTGGGCGCAGCCCCCCCGCTGGGACCGGCAGACGTCCTGGAGCAGGGAGGTCGCGGAGGCCGTGAGGGAGGAGTGCGCCCGCCGACAGGCCGAGCGCAGCCGGCAGGGCAGCACCTGGCGCCGCTGTCTGCGAACGGTCTGCAGCTGCGCCGAGGACAACAACTGCAGCAAGTGCCGTCCCAGCGACGGGTAAGTCACGGCAATAGTAAAATCCCCCCCTCAAAAAATGCAAACTTTCTCTCTCTCTCGTTGCAGAGGCTGTGCGGCGACGGCGGCGCCGAGCTCGACAGCAAACGATCAGTCGGCAATGGTGAGTCGCATATCCCGACTGGCGGCGTCGCGCG